AAGGGAATTAATTCTACCACCCTGTTTCAGGACACTGAAATGCAGGATGAGCTCTCCACAAGTTAGCCTACCTTCTCCCATACCCTTGGAATGCCAAATTTCAGACCCAAAGGCTACAAAAGTAATGCAGTCAGATGTACAACTAAACACACAAAGTTTCAATTATAAAAAGGGTGCTACCCACTTAACCCCAGTGGATGAGCCAGGTGATTTTGTTGCATGACTGCACAGTTGAACTTTAAGACAAAGATTTCTCATTTGTTTGGAGCTTTAAAATCTTCAGTGTTACATGAGAACAAGCTTCTATTCTTGGGAGATAAGTACATGTATATTCTCCCCAGAGTTCAGAAGACAGAAGCAACGACTTCATCAAGACAGCTTTGAGCAGTAAAACACCACATCTGAAGCAGTTTGGCTGACATACTTTCCAAAACATTTTTCTGTGGTAACATATCTTCTGGAAAACATAAGTACTGGGCATATCCACTTCTGCAGAATCTTACTGTCCTCACATAAATCCCCATTCTTTGCACAGGTGCTCAGGTCATGATGCTCATCCTGAATGACTGTGGGCAGGCTAACAAAACTACCTGTGATTGTTTCAGAACTGCAACACATACAAGCATTTCAGTGCAGAGTTAAGTTTTCTCACACAAGGGCACATATTCATAAAAAAAGCCCTATTAATTCTATCATATCACCAGGAACGTAAGAGAAAATCATACCCATTTGACAGTAAAAAGTTTTTAGCTCCTGATATTAACTGAGACATTTCTTAAGTCCTACATTTCCATTAAATCTTAAAATATTTCAGTGATTCCCACATGTTCCCATTTGCTTGCATTTTAGGAGGCCAGAGAAAAGTATACAGATGTTGGCTTCTGCAAAAAGACAGGAAAATTCAGGAATCAAGACACAATATGCAATTCCATTGCACCTATTTTAAATGGCTACACAAAAGTGAGCACTTTAAGCAGGCAAACAGAACTTGGACTTTGTAAATAAATTATACAGATGCAGCATAAAGAATTGTTGCTAGTGATGGCTAAATATAAATAATCAAACGGCTTTGATTATTTATATTTAAAGATGCAGTGCTCAGAGTCTGTTAGCCACGTGCAGTGGATGCGCACACACGTTTATTATACCTGCACAGAGACAGGGACAAAGGCAGCCTGTGCCTTCCTGTATAGGCTCCACTGCCAGGACAAAGGGTAAAGCAGCAATCAGGTTCCTAGTGAGACAGAAACTGGATCTCATTAGATTAAATGAGAGGAGGCTCCACACAATAAGACATTGGTGTTACACACCATTGTGAAGCATCATGGAGATGGAATATTGAGAACGAGGTATCTCAGTCACATGGAAATTGTTCTTCTGAACATGACCCAGTCCAAGACATTAAATGCAAACCAGCATTTGATAACGTCACCATCCCCTAAGTTTGTGACACTGGACTATTCCTGTAGCAGCTGGATAACAGTGTTTATGTTCTTGTTAAAAATGCCTTAAAAAGCGTTGCACGAAGAGGGATAGGATGAAGCATCACAATGCTCATGTTAACACAGCTAAACTTATCCAATTACTCATTCCCAAGTTCCTGAACACTCCATTTTAGGAATACTTGGCTACAGCTGAATATATGGGTGTTCAGACCTGTCACTTCAAGCTCTAGCAACATAACAAAATCCTAGATCTGTTTACTACGCAGATTCTTCTCTCTCCACTCATATGAAAAAGCAGCATCAGGAATGTGACAGACACTTGTTTCAATAACTGAGATGACACCTCAGTTTCTTTGGGAACAAATCCTACACAAGGTCACAGCAACACCTTGTCAAGAGAAATAGTATGTATAAGGGATCAGGTCCATATGGAAATTCTTCTGCAAATGCAGAAATCTCACCCACCTACCTCTTCTGACTTAAGGGAGAGCCACTTTTGAGTCCATCTCCACAACAAGGTGAAGAAAGGGTTCATACAAAGATATTAAAACAACAGCTTCATAACCCTCAAGCACATCATAGTGGGGTCCCAGGGCTCACTGCATGGTTTGCAAGCACGCATTCATAAAAGGATTTCAATGACATTAGATGCCAAGAGGCCCCTGTTAACACTGCAGTTGAAATTGCCAAGGAACACACCTTTGCTCAGCTAAACAGGGGACAGGGAAGAGCCACCCATGTCTCGCCCTGAGCAGAAGGCAGAATTTTCACTGGCAAAAATAAGCAAGGCAGCAGCAGGATTCACTTCTTACACCCTGATGCCGGCAGCACTTTCAGAAAGGATTTCCAGCTGCCTGAAAGGGATATCCTCAGTGCCAGCTAACCAGTGCTCCCAAGCGTACAAGAACATCCACTCAAAACAAGCTCAAGGGACTTGAGTTGCCCAAATGCTTTTGCCAGAACAAGGAACTTGGTAATGAATAGCTTATAGCTGAATGGACATAAAGTCTCCCTGTGATTTCTTTATTAATGCTTCTAAGACCTTTCCCTGAAGCCTCTTTTACTTACACAGATTATCTTTTACTAATTTTGTTTTTAAATCCCTTATGAGCTCTCCTAGATCCCACCCTGCAGCTGCCTTCAGCCTTTCAGATTGTTTCCATTTCTTCTTCAAAATACAGACAGCTCTTTTCTTTTGCTTTCTACTTCTACATGTCCCAATAACTTATCTAATCACTGTCTTAAAAATCATTCTGGTAGAGTAAAAAAAGATTAAGAGGCATAAAACTCAGACATTACAGAAACTAACTTCATGCACAAACATGATTTAAAAGTCTTTGTCAAATAGAGTAAAAAAGAATAAACTATGGAAGCTTTGTTTTCTGGAAAACCACAACCATTAAAAGATAAACTCATACTTCTATTTCCTCTCACCAGCAAGAGACAGCTACTCCAAGTAACCAGAGGGACTGACTTGCCTGAAACTCACAGAACCACCTGCTCTTTTTCCAACCAAGGTCAGAAGTAAGAAAAGGTGAGATAGTTCCAGTTATCCATGCATTTATTTCAGAAGCCCTTAGTATCACATTTAGGGGTAGTCTTGGTACCAAGCCAACCTCCAAAAAAAAAAAAGAAGCCAAAGGTTACTCCTTTTTTTTGCATGTCAACTTCTCATATTTCTAGACTATCTGTAGTGATAGCTTATTCAGAGGACATTCATACAGTATGAACAGGAGCAAGAGACAGTTCAGACAGCATGATCCTTCCACCTGCAATGCTTCTACACTTTTACACAAGGACAGTTGTTTCTTGATGCCATTTTCCAGCTGTTGCCACTATCCTTTTTCCAGAAGCCACAAAACTGACAGAGAACCCAGCAGGCCAAAAAACGTGCACTAGCAGCAGAGGGACAGACAGGAATAAGTTCAAATTACAGATTTCAATTCTTATTCAACATGCACTGTTTAGGTGCATATTTAAAGCAAAAGCAATAAAGAACCACAACAAAATATGAAATTAATATAAACCAAGTGAGGGACAGAACTGTAGATTTATAGCATGCATCTCAAGACCAGCAAAGCCGTTCAAAAATCTGTAGTAAAAAAAGAAAAAGCTAGACTTTTCATTACCACTAAGGAAAGTTCCATACTGTTAAGAAATCACCCCTAATTTCTCTTAAAAAAAAAAGAATACATTGAGGCAATCCATTACCACAGATGACACTTTATACAATATAATTAAGCAAAAACCTGTATTTTTCAGACTGGCACTCTGAAATCAAAGTTCAGAGGGACTTTGAAAGGGAGAAAATTTGTCATAAATAGAGGCACTCTTACTAGCAGTAAAATAACTGAGTATGAACATATTGCATTGTGGTTTTCACTCGAGCACTTTTTCCTGATAAAGCCACTATTATACTCCATTTAGTTTATCATACATTCATAACACCCAACTTGTTCCTCCCCACAAACAATGATGCAAGTGTGGATTTTTTCCTGTTCCTTGCAGTGACATTTTCTTGGCTGCTTCCTCTGGGAAAAATGGCTAGGCAACAACTACCCTTTAGTGCAATATATATATATAGACCCACTTGAGTTATATGATAAAGTTCAATGTGCTGCACTGCATTTTTCACTTTTCTAGTTCATGAAGAGTCCCAGACTTAGCTCTCTAGATGTCACTGTTGAGCAAAGAAGAGGGCAAAGTCAGCCACGTCATAGCTTGTAAAGCTCTGTCATCCACTTGTTACAAGTTCATTTTGAAAATTCATCTTTCATTGAGCTGCTAACATCCACCACAGGGAAGAGATGAAAAATCACCTTCTGTGTAATGAGGTTGTCTTTTCTTGAATAGCAGAGCACCACCTCTTTCCAGAAAGACTCTGGAGCTTTCCCATACAATAACTATATTTTGCTCACAGCAAAAGACCTCATTTATGATTACTAATCAGCATTTGATTTGAATAAGATTCTATTGAATTCTTTTCATGTATTTCTTAGAGAGCAATGTGGCAAGTAAATCACAGCTTTCTGGAGATCAATCCATGTAATTTAAATCCTACATATATAGCAATACTACACTCAACAGGGCTTGTAGATTTATAAAACTACTAAATTCAAGCAGATTTTAACTACAAAGAGATCCCCATTTTATGACAAGACCTTTTTTTTTCCTTCCGTATCAACAGAAATACGATTGCAGACTAACATTAATTGCAAATTCCAGCAATTTTTAAATCCCATTTTATATGAGATTTTTCTGTAATAATTCAAATCCTCTAGGAAACAGGATCTAACACACTTTTCTAAGAAACACCATTTATCTGGTTCCACTGAGCATTTCACTAAGTGACCAATGAATGCCTCTTCCCAACAGCAGCCACAGGAAATATTTCCTATGTGCAAGCAGGAAGACCGACAACATTTAGAAAACTCACAGAACACAATTCCCAGATCTCTGGGGCAAAATTACAGCAAACTGAATAATTTTGAACAGCAGCATTGTATGGATTGGTATCACTATCCACTAACCATCAAAAATCAGATATTCCCTTACCCCAAATGGTGGATATGAAGCAGCAGCAGCAGCAGAGGCAACACTCACTGCGGGAGGTGGTATTCCTGAAGAAGAAGGTGGGAACAGACCCAAGGCATTCAGATTTAATCCAGGAATTAAATGTGCTTGAAGCTGCAATGGCAAAAGAGTTGTTTAAGATTTACAATCCTGGTTATTAACTTTAATCAGGATCGTGGTTGGCACAGGCTATTAAACCTCTTAAGAGATGTCAGTATGTTATTTAGAAAGAAAAAAAAAAGTCCTCTCCATTACCCCAAGGACTCTGCTTCAAACCTATTTTCCAGACACATGCACAGAACAATAACATTAAAAACACCTAAGTGGGAAAAGCAGCTGGGAATCACTTGCTACAACTTATCCAGTGAAAAATATGACAAACTTCACAGCAAGACAATCTGGCAATGGTAGTATTTGCTTCTAGAGTGAACAAGATTATTAGATAAATAAGGTAGTAATTTTGGCTTTATACCAAGAAAGACAGTCTGTAGAACCAGAAAGCCCACGCACATGTTCTGACTTTTCATACACTGGGGGTGTATATGCCACAGTAAAACCCCATTCTTCCTCCTATATACTTTTCCTCCCATGTCTTGCAAGAGATGAAGCGAGATATCCCCAGCATTTATTGCAAAAGCATCAACTATAAAGTTTATGTCTGCTGCTTGACCGCACCTGAGAGAAGTGGCAGCAGTAGGAAGCATTTGTTGTCCATGGTACAAAATTTGTCAATACCCCTTTCCACTTTTCCAGATTATCGCCAGTAAAATGACTATGCTTCAGAAATGCCTCAGCTAGAGGCTGACACCATCTCAAGCCATCAGCATAAGCAAATCATGAGACACCAAAATATCCCAAAATTCCACCAGCTGAAAACCTACCCTAATAATCCCTACACATTGAATTTGAAATCCATCCAGTAACAGAGGTAGCTTTCTGCTTACCACACCTTTGCCAGACAGGAGAATAGCCTCAAGCTCACCTTGTGTTCCTGCTCACAATATGAAGCAAAAATATACTACTATAAAATACTTGATTGTGTTCTCGTGTGTAGTTTCTGTCCTGCAATGTGCTTTTAGGATGAGAGGGAGGGGAAAAAAAGGCAAGGAGAATATTTTCTCCAGCCAGCAGGAAAACCATGAAGAATGGCCATTTCTAGAAAATCATAGATTACTGTAAACTGAAAACAGTGTTTCCAGTCCAAGTCTAGACCATAAGATGCAGACACACAAAAAGCTCTTCATGGCTTATCAAAAAATCTCAATCATTTCTCAATATGCATTAGTAACACTTTGGCAAACTAACAAGGTGTGGGGGTTTTATTATATAATCACCAATCATCTTTGAATAGCTACATGCCTTTATCATCTATATCAAGAAAAACTTTAATAAAGCCTTCTTAAATTACATTATCAAAAGCAGGAGAAATCTTTCTTTATGCTGTTGTGCTTTTAAAATGAAGACACTACCTTAACGTATGCAAACTAGAACACATAAACCACAACAGTACATAAAAACACATTCCTTTTGGCTTTTGCAACAAGAAGTGAAATGCTCATTCATTTCCTCAATCTAAATCAATTTCTCAGTTCCCTTACTCAAAACAAATTAGAAAAAGCCTTCATTAACATTTGTACATAAATAATTAAAAAACCCTCACCCAAGTGCCAGGAATTAATACAAGAGGCAACAGAGAGAGGCTGCAACAGGGAAGTTCTGTTGTGGTACTAGGAAAGACTTTTCACCATGAGAGCAATGAGACAGGGCACAGGCTGCCCAGAGAGACTATGGGCATTCTACCCATGGAGGTGTTCAAGGAGGGACAAGCCCCTACATAGTCTCATTTAACTCTGAAGCAGGCTCTATACTGAGCATATGACTACTGGGCCAGGTGACCTCCGGAGGCCTCTCACACCTAAATCTTTCTATGGTTCTAGTTCCAGAAAGGGCCCATGCCACAGGACAACTCACATTCATAGCAGCAATATCATTTTCATAGGACTCCCTGATTTTCTTCATAATTTCTTCCTCAGCCTTGGCACAAGTTTCAATACTGCCTTTAACCGTAATGGTCCTTTCCGGATTATAGAGTGTCAAGTCCTGCAATCTGCAAATGAAACAGAAGCACAGGTAATTAGCAAACAGCAGAGGGTAATCCAGGTTTATCATTTGAGTGTGGTGACATCCGAGCATGTCACGTTTGCTCTCCAAAGAACACAATATCAATTCATAACAGGCCTCAAACAGTTCTCAGAGAATCTGGAGAAACTGTCCCCACAGCAAGTGCAACAAAAAAACACCGCGGTGAGGTTTGGCATCAGATGGTTGATACGTGCTTAGGTGCAACACAAGATGGAAACCATCACACTCTGCGAGAACATGAGCTACAGAGCAGTGCAGCACCCCTCAGCTTTGCTCTCCACACCAGCCCTGCCAACAAAGGCAGGGCTTCAGACAGTTTTAGACATCCCAGAAACACAGAGCATGAGAAACTTTCTTTTCTTCAGAACAAATGTGAATCCCTTAAGGTAGGAGTGGAAAAAAGCCCAACCCTCAGTGAAACTGCAGGAGAGCCTCCAAATCCTCCAAAGGGGAAAACCAAAAGCTGTGTGCAAGTTAACATTTGCTGCAAAACGCTAGTGACTCCTCAGGGAAAGTGAAAGGGTTACCACAGTAAACTAGTTCTTTGTTCAAACACTGGCCTACTATAGCAAAGTGGAAGAAACAGACTGGGAAGCCATGGCATATCCATGTACTGAGGAAAGGTGAGTTGGACAGGTGAGGGCAAGAAGAAAAAAGGATAAAAGAAAAAAGGACAGAGCAAAATGCAGGCAGAACGAGGAGGCCCATGGCAGGAAGGAGAAAGGAAGAAGCATGCAAGGCTTGCTTTCTTGCCAGCCGGCAGCATGGCAACCTGAGCATCTTAGTTAAGCAGCAGCAAGCATGAAATGCATCCACAAGGCAATCCTTAAGTTTCCAGTGTGCGAGCACTGAGTTACTGCCTTGGGAAAGAAAGCGGTGGAAAACACCCCAAAGAAGAGAGGAAACGCTTTCCCAAACCAGCTGCCTTTAACTTTATGAACAAGCTTACCAAAAAGCCTAAATGAAGAGATCAGGAGAAAGACTAATTAGACAAAACAGAATAAATGGGCATATATGCTCTCTTCTATGCACCAGTCAAACCAGGCAACTTCATGGGGCTATTTCAGGCATAGCATAAATATAATCTTGATGCCATGATTTTAATGCAAATACATCATTAACTTGCTACATTAAAAAAAATACTCTGAGTGTTTATAGACAGTGTTATTTGTGTCATCATCAGTAAGGACAAGTGGGTTTCATGGAATGAAGACCATTATCCCATTTACCCGATACATTTCCCACTCCCCTTTTAAGAAAGGGCATTAACAGTCTGTGTACTGTCTACAAACAAAATGTTTATGCCAACGCATTTAAGAAAGCATGCTGATCTGACAAAACCTATTATTGAAACACTTACTTGGGTTCTTTTTCTCCAATTGATTCACCTTTCATCTGACTAATTCCATTAACATTTACGTACCTTCAGAAAGGTCTCAGCTTCATCCACACAACTCAATTTCCTCTTTTTAAGGAACCTCATTCACTCTTAGCTTCCTTGACTTCGAGATACTTTCTGCAGCACACCTTTTGTCTCCTGCATGTATTCACGTCTTCCTAGACCTTCATCTGTCTTTCAAATTTTCTCCCTTTCCTACAGTTTATAAGCCTTATTCTCACCCTTTCTTTCTAAAGCCTAAGTCCAGGGTGGCTTCAGATGCTTGAAAGTTCACACCAGAGTACTACTCATTATTCAGAACAGGAGGTTCTCTGAAGACCCTGCGCCACAGTAAAACTATTATTAACAGCCAAGCTTCTACAAAGATGTTGATTTAATCAGTGATGTGCAGATTTCCAGTGAAGGTGAAAACTCTTGTTTAATCTTAGCTAAATCTGAACAAGTCTCAGTTACTTTAACAAGCTCAGAGACCAAAAGCTGTTACTTTGAAGCACACAACTCAACCTATCCCAGTTTGGCGGCTAGTGGCCAAGAGGGACAGAACTGATACTAAAATTACTCTTTTCACTATTCATTTACTTTATTTCCTTCCCCTCGTCCAAAAATTTAATCTATACCAGAAACTAAAACATCACTAGTTTCATTTTCACACATAGCTCAGAACTCATACAGACTTATAGTTTCAAACGCTCATCATTACATATGGTATAATATGTTAAAAACAACTGACACTTAAAATACAGTCTAACACAGGCTCCACATAGCCTATGTTATTTTTAGGCTTGCTCTTGACTTAGTTTACAATGAAGACTCACTGTTTACATTAAACGTAACTGAGCTTAAGTAACAGTTTAATCCACATTATAAAAAGGCCTCAGAAAGGCTGTTATCTCAGCCTTCAAAACACACATTTCTGTAAGAACTCTGTACCTGAATGTATCAGAGCAGCATCGCTATTTGAGACATCTCACCAAAAGAGTAGGCCACCAAAAACTTACGGAGATATCGTGATTTTAGTATCTGTGTCCTGTTCAATTTTCTTCAGGTTTCTTCCTTCTTTGCCAATAAGTCGGCCAACAAAGTTGTTATGTGCCAATATCTTCAAGGGAATTTCTTCTGTACTGTAATGGAGGTTACATCCAGTGAGACTTTTGGAGACCAAGTTTTTCTGCATGTTATGGATTAATTTCATAGAAATGTCTATGACTCCCATCTACTTACACATGTTTATACTAAATGCCGAATGAGTCCAAGTGCAATGCACATTTCAGCACTATCATCTACAGCTTCATACCTGCTAAAGCTCAGACTGAAGTAGCAAGAGCTGTTGGGAAGGAAGAAATATATCTTAACGCTTTCAGTGAGCACTCACAACTTGTTATGCTGACTCTGATTAAAAGCTTTTAGTTGCTCAAGAAACTTCAGTATTTGCTCCAGTTCACCTTAAAATCACAGCCAGGCAATGGGTGAAAACATTGATGTTTGCTGGGACTAATTAAACAAGTAGACTGTCCTAATGAAAAAAGTCTTGGTTCCTTTTTTGACCTACTCAAATGTGGGTAACAGCAACAAAGATTCACTTGTTAATTGTTTGTAAAGACTACTTCTTTAAACAGAGTCAACAAGAATTCAGAATTTTTAATGCTTCCACAATGAAATGCCTTTTACTCACAATTTAGTATCTTGAGCTTCCTTTTGCATGATCTCCATAATAATTTTACAAGCCGTTGAGCAGCCTTCAGGAGTTGAGTGGATGGTAATTGGTTTCTCAGCAGCACCTGCATTCTCTTTACGATGAATATCGATTCTGGAAAGAAAAACACTAACTGTAACCACGTACTATACGTTAAGCCTTGCATATTTTCAACTCTCATAAAACTAGTTAATTTTGAGCTAACACTGACTACATATAAGTGACTTAATTATGTAAAGTATACAACCAAAACCTCTCAAATACTATTTTGTGTGTGTGTGTTATGATGAGCCTGCCCTACCCTGATTTTACCAGCTAAACCCCATCTTTGTGAACACTGGGATCTCTTTTTCTCATCAAACTCCCATGAAGTTATTCAGGGGAGCTGGATGACAATCTACTGTAAACCAGTGAAGACAAAATTTCATCAAGCTTTCCCAATACTCTTCCAGCCCTGTCACTCCACTAATGGGTGTGCAGCTACAGGACCATCAGGCTTTGTTCCACCTTGTCTTTTCTAATGACCACAGCAGCAGTTTCCTAGCATTTCTCTGCTAGCAAGTAGCACTGTAGAACTTGCATTCATCCTCAAGATTACTTTCCTATGCTTTAAGCTGAAAATTTGTCCTGACATTACCTTTCACTAACTCCACTTTAAAACTACAAGCCTCAGTCTACATCATCATTTATGTAGCTCTAGGAAATTCGCAATAACTAATTAGGATCTGCATCAAGATAATGCCTTGGATATTATTTGTCCTCTGCCAGTAACGTGGGTCACATACTCTTCCTACTTCTGCTTTTTGCTTCCTCCCCTCTTCCCCAAATAATAGCCATTTCCAAACCGAAACAGCCATTCTACTTTTTCAATAAACCTTTTATTTTTTTCCAGTTCTTTTTGACATTGAAAATTTACTTTGGTTAACGATGCAGCATTTTCTAAGAAGCCTATGGCAATCCTTAGTGCAACTGAAATTAGATGACATTTCTTTTTTATCCCCAAACCAATGAAAACATCATTCCTGAAGTCACAAATCTGTAAAGTCTGCAGCCTGCAATTATTTCCACTCAATCCAGCCTTCTTGTAAGAGATAAAAACTTTCCTTATGCCAATCTTTCAGGATTTTTATAGTCCAGGAATTAGATGGTTTAGATCTTACCTAAAAAATTAGTTATCCATAGGCAAACTACAGCCAAGTCTTGTCAGGACACCACAAATCTCTTAAACCTGTGTTATTAAATTCAGCAAATAGTCTCCTGGGTTACAACACGCTAATGAGAGGTTGGAAGTAGGATCATGATGATAATCCTGGAGTTGGGGGGGGGGGGAAGGGGAAGGGGGGGAGCCTCTTTGCTGGGAGGGTGGGAGTCTAATTAGAGAGGACTCCCTTATCCTCATTAACTGCTCTCAAAACTGAAGCCACTCCACCCTCATACACCTCACATACAGCTCATTTCTAGGTCCTGCCTTCTGTAACTACAGAGCCAGAGGCTCATACCAGTGTACTGTTGAAGACAGCATCTTTCACTCTCTGCTTTTAGGGGTACCCTAGAAGAATTCTTTGAATATGATCCCCACCTCCCACTAAGCCCTTCCTTGTGGGTAGGGATTTAACATGCACTGAAAATCTCCTCCAGCATCTCTAGATCCTAGTGCTCTAAGCTGCTTAGGTCACTTGGCGGCTTGCTTTTTGCCTCCTATACATTTCCCTACTCCGTGTTTTGATGTGGTCTGCAACTTGCTAGCAACAAATGTATTCATTGGGGATGAGGTATAAGGGCAGTGAGAAGAGATAAAAAGGTTATCTCCCCCCCAACTAAAACATGTATAAGACCTCAGAATGGCCTAAATTAAACTAAAGCTAGAATAAACGCTTAAAAGACTTGGATACGTCGCCGCACTGACTGTATGTCCCACAGACCAACATACCACAGGTTTTCCACTTTTTGAGCCAGAATCTTATTAGTACATCTGTAAGCAAACTCCCTGGCCTCAAGTACCATCCTGTTAGCACTGCCTAATTTCATGTTTTTGAAAAAAAGGAAGAAACAAGTCAGATAGGATGTGAACATAAGCCAAGGACAGAAGCCAGTCCTTATATAAACCTTGCCAGAGATTTCCTATCCGCTGCTATTTTCAGTTGTTCTCTGACCACACAGGTTGTGAAGTTTTACAAGTTTCCCTTTACATGGGAGATGAGGACACAGTATTAAAACTTACAATTACAGTTCTGTGAAATAACTTACTTGGACTGAGTCTGTTTTGTGATGTTCCTGATTGTCGCTCCTTCTTTCCCGATAATGGCTCCTACGAACTGTGTGGGAACCAGCATCCGCAGAGGAACGTCTGACTGTGGTTTCTGCCTTGTGGTTGCACCGGGTGACCCTTGCCTCGGAGGACCCCTCTGTCCAAATCCACGTCTTCCCTGGGGATGCTGTTGCGGGGGTTGCTGGGCTGCCATTTCATCAGGGATGTATGCAACTTTCAAGGAATAGTTTTCAAGCTGAAACCCGTTCAGTTTTTCTATTGCTCTGTTTATTTGCAAAGGGGAGGAGAGAGGAGAGGAAAAAAAAACAAGCCACAATCACATGCAGGGCCTTATAAAATGACAACTCATTCAGATAGGGACTTCTGCTCTAAATCACATGACAAAGCTAAGAACTGGTTCCAAGATGAAAAGCTACATTCAAAATTCTTCAGTGAAGATTTTGATTTAAAAAAAGAAAAAGAAAAAAAGTTGTGCAAGTCACCATATTAAGGACTACAAGTTAGTTCTTGCTCTCTCTGGGCTTCTGTGCACTTTAAAGGTTTTGCTGGTGCAACCCTATCAGCAAAACCTCACAGGAGACAGAGCTTATACACTCAAAAGCATTCTTTTGCCTGATTTAATTTAAATCAGTTTCCCAAATAGAATTAAAACTGCACCAGAGGGAAAACATTTTAGCTGCTATCACAGCACCTTCATTAGGGTTTTTGCCAGCATAGCTATTTGGCTGGAGCTTTTGCAATAACTGATGTAGCTATGACAGGAAAAAAAGAAAAAGAGAAAAAAAAAAAGGATATGAAAAACAGCTCCTGCTTCATTCTCAGCAGGAAAGAAGGTGTTCAAAGCTCTTCAATGGCATTTGAGATGCCATTTAGCAAACCATGACAGCACCCTGCAACTTACCAGCTAGTCATGTTGTAAGCACGTTTGATAGTTAACCAGGAAATTAAAGCCAACATGCCCATTAAACGCTCCACAGATACAAAGGTGTTAGAAGGCATTTAGATGGCATTTCAAGTTATCTTGTGCTTTTTGGCAAAGCAGAGCCCTCTTAAATATCACAGAGAGCTACTGCCCAAATGCACACCATGGTCCACCACACTGAATAGCCATCCGGTCTCTGAGCTCTCCCTCTGCCCAACCCTCTTTCTGACCAAGGTGGGGTCAAGTCTGAAAGTCAAGCTGACCTGCTGGTCATCTCCTCTTGTCTGAAGGAGCATAACTCTAAACTTAAAATTTCTGGAAGGTAGAAGATCTTCTACTCACAAAGTAGAGTCTATGATTAAAGAGCCAGGAAACAGCAGGAATAACTAAGCTACATGCAGCACACTGGTAAGCTAGTAGTATAAAATTAAGATGTTTGCACAAGAAAGGCATTTCAAGTTTCATTATAGAAGGCATTATTATTCAGATTATTAGTGATACTTCAATATCACTGAAACACACATTGATTTGGGGTAGTTTATAAATGCCAGGCTTAATCTTGGACCAAAGGTTACTGATAGATTGTGTTTACAGGAGTGGGAGGGAGGAGGTTCCCATCTTTCATTAAGAACCTATCAACATTTTCATTACAAAGCTCCAATAACCGTATGCTCTACAGCAAGGCCTCTGAAATTCAGGTACTTAACTCAGTACCTCCGTTTGGGGGACACACATTTGCAGGTGGTTACTGACAGTTTAGCAAACACTTTTACTCCTACCTCTACTGCAGAGATAAAGGATGACGCTAGCCAATCACTTAAATTTTCAAGGGTAGCTAGTGACAAGTACTATTCATCTCCCAAGTGTCCCATCTGGCAATCTGGGTCTCAAGCAGCTGTCAAAGCCAAGCAGCAGCTTTGCAGGTAAGAAGTAGTATATGGTACAGAGGATAACACATCCCTCAACTCCCAGGGGTTGGACCAGTGTCCTCTAACTATTCCAATTGGACAGTAAAAAGCTTATGAGAAAACAAGCAATTTGTGTCTTTGTGTTTGATAAGGACTGATAATAAGTAAGGCCTAAGGCAACACCAATGGACAACAAGGAAAGCAAAATATTGAATAACTGATCACTGCTCATTACATACTTCTGTTCACCAAATGAGACACAGGCCCTTTGGGAACAGGGCAAGAGTGTAATTGCTCCCATAACAGAAGAATCTCTTACAGCATATGGCAAAAGAGAGCTGAATTAAAATTTGCTGAGTCTATTTCAGAGCTGACATTTTCTGACTTTTACTCCATGGACTTTGAAGAGCATTTTATTTTACAGAAAGCAATGTTTACAAAACAGTAAGGACAGTGAGCAGCCAGACTTGTGAAGCTTGTGTTCTTATGAGTTCATCTCTCAAGTGTTAGTTTCTGCAGAGATTTCTAATGCTTGAAAGGCATTTCACTGGAGATTCTCTCCATGGAGATCCTATCTTGGAAAGGGGTCTGGAGTCTTTTCTTTTTATGCAGCCTGAACATACTAAGTTCTTGTGGTTGCAAATAACTGAGACCTCTATTTCTGGGTTGAGTTTTACTGAAATCAGCAAAAAAGCTGAATTGCTGCCAGCGAAGGAAATGGCACCACCGGGCAATGCAGTTGCACAAACCCTATTTCTTTTGGAACCAAACCTCAGGATGTTGGAACGATGAGCACCAACAGTTTTGTGAACATGCTGGTAGGCTCAGGATTGACATCCATCCCAACTCATTCCCTTCCATGCATTCATTTGACAAGATCAGACAAGATCTTTCCCAAAATGCTTCAGTCTCCTCTGACTTAAAAATGTCTTAGACCAGAATCCCAGAACTAACACAAAACCTTATATTAAATCAGTGCACAAGGTATCTCACTCTTCCTTAGAAGTGATAGGGGAAGAAAAGATTAGGCCTGTTTGCAACCAACCCACATACCTATCATATTTTCACAACAAATATTGGAACAGCTGGCACAGGTGTATAGATACATATATATATATATAGATATATATAGATATATGCACCATACCCTTCCTGGAAAAGAGCTGGAATTGTTCTACTCAAGAACAATTAAGGAATTGCTAAGCTGTTCTATATGACTGTAAGTACCCTGAATTGAGGGGGGTTGGAACTTGATGATCGTAAGGTCCTTTCCAACCCTAACTATTCTATGATTCTATGAAGTTCAAAGCCAACTGAGAATTTTGCCATTGTGGAAAATCAATTATGTCAGCAAGGAAAAATCCCTGGCCACCAAAGCCATATGATAACATGGAAAAATAACAGTACGGGATGGACTGGTTTGGGGAAAGTGTTTGAAGGCAAATCTGCTTTAGAGTTCACTGCTCTAGTTAGCTACTAGAGCTACTACAGTATAGTACTATCACTTGTCTAGGTATTACTAGAGGAAAATAACAATTCACCCTCTGAGCCAGAGTTCTCCATATTTTATAGGCTGAACCTAAGAGGAAAGTGAATGACTGGTTCCTCACAGCACTAGTGGTACCGGTTTTAGTTAAAGCTATCATCACTCTTGCAATCCACCAAATACATGTTAAATCCAGCTCCTTTAGTAAAGCATATACTCACATTGGCACACCACAGCAACACCACCTCTGCCTTTCTGCAAACCTCTCTGCCTTCCCAAACAGGGCTGGAGTCTCCTTCCACGACCACAAGTTGGGTAAGGGCTGTGCAGGTTACCCCTGTCAGAGGGCACTACTGGTACCTACTGAAACAACCCACAAACCATCTTTTACACTAGGGCTAAAAACCTCAGTGTCACTTAATGAGGTCAACGATGGAGAAAAAATTAACTAAAAATCCAAATTCACCAAGGGACTGCAGAAGATACTTAGCAGGCTCTGCTAAGATGTATAGTAGTCTGGCTTATGTTCACGTGATGCCTGCTTAGAAGAGGATCGCTACATAAAAATTAAACCCTTAAACAAGTATTTTCTAAATCAGTCACCCCATTAATGTGACATCTCACCACTGTCCTCTCCCAAGCTCCCTGTGAGAGGATGTTTGCCCAGCCTTCCCCCTTGGAAGCTAGTGGAGGTTAAACATCTTAGATAAATGAATACAGTAAAAGCACTGAGTCTTGTGCTGGAAATCATTCATCCATTGATAGTGTAATGACACTAAGCACTAGATGGAGAACATATTTCACTCCCACACGCAGCTTGTACGTACACCACCTTTCTCTTTTCCTCCCTGAACAGAAACATTTGCATACTGAGAAGACAGATATACAGGGTAATTTTTCTTTGGCATAATAGCATTTCTGTACATTAAATAAAAATATCTATTAATATTAAAATAATGAAATTAAAATTTCATTACTATTTCTGAAAATAAATAAAAAAAAGAAGCTTATAACCATACACCACTGAATTTTCAGTATTATCGTTCCTATGGCAACATTAGCCCTGACCCACAATGGTACGTGAAAGTATTAGTTGCACGAACTCTTATTCGTTCATCAAGGATACATGTTGTGTGCACACAGCTTTGTGCTTCATGGAAAGGGTGGGGGAAGAGAATACTTTTCTTTTTGCAATTATTTTAATTATAAGGTGACCACTAGCGTGTTTACACTCAAAGTAATTCATGTCCCCTGAGCTCCTTATATTATAATACACCACTAATAAAATAAATAAATAAATAATAATAAATAAAAACCAAACACCCAGACCCATACTAAGCCAATATACACCCAGTCCATATATATGTGATGCCAGCCTTGCACAAAATTTCCCTTCCGTAATCTTGGGTGGGGTTAAATCCTGTAGCAAGCACTAGACACCTACACACTGGAACATTCTGGGGAGGGAAAGAGAAGGTGGTGTAACTTCTGAATACAACAGCTGTAACTGAGGTGGCAGAACATCACAAGGACACTGTCAGCACCTCCCGTTGGTTGCAGTTAGGGATCAATATTGGGAAAAGCGGGGGTGCCCTTTGGCAAGCAAGTCCCAAGTTTTCTCAGTACCTACATGTAGCTGCTTGTGTGTTCAAACCAAACAGTGGGCCCCAGGCTCTGCTGCTTCTCCTCTGAACTTGTCCAAATATTCCATAACTCACCATGACATTCAATAATTGCATATGCCATAACAAGATGTACATGCTTTGTAAGACCTCCTCCATCTTCCGGGAAGGACAGCAGCAGGCATAGTTTCTGAGTTGGAACAACTCCCTCATCCTCCCAGGCACTTCCAGTAGAGGAGGAGAGGAATGGGATCACTGCTCTGGCTGGCAGACCCAGCCTTCTTCTCGCTGTGCACAGTCCCAGAGAGCAAAGGATGGTTTTCGCAGGCCTGTGCATGGCTCTGTGCATACCTCTCTCCACAAACCTACCAGCCATGCTGGCTCCCCTCCTTGGCCTCAAAGACAAAAAGCAGCATCCTGCTTTTTCTGCCAAGATAACCTCATGCCTGTCCAGCTAGGAAAGAGAGGCATCACTGTGACAGGTCAAAGCCATTGACCTTCATTCTATCTAGAAGCCAATAATTGTCTTAGATTTTGGGTGCTACATGCTCTGTCGAAGACGTGCTTCTCAAAAGGACTGCAGCATTCTTCACCAGTTTCAGTTTCCAAGTTGATTTTGGATGCAGCCCTGTACTGAATATGCAGCAGCTGCAGTTCCAACCTAGAGATAAAAGCACACCTCTGCCACAACAGTTAGACTTGCAAGACAGCTCACTTTCCCAGCTGGGTGGAACCTAAAGTTCTGTTCAAAAGTAACATCCTCCAAGCAATGCATACCACACTTGTTTAGAACTGCTTATCAAAACTATCTCCAGATTGTGCTTGAGCACCTTCACCACACAGCACTGCTGGTACACACTCCAACAGGCACAGCAATGCCATACAGTCTATTCAGCAGGGAAGTAGCCAACGTTGCCTGTTTTGTCAGCCAGCACTAACTGTGAGGTTAGTATGTGTCGCAGAAAGGGCACAAAAGACATAATTAGAACTGGGAACCCACTGTATGTGGTAGCACAGATACCTTCATGACACAGTGCTTGCTTCAAAAGTCATGGCTAAAAGCATCAGTTACCCTAAACAGCTAAATTTCAAAATACAAAGCTTGTTATCAGCTGTTGATCCTCAACAATTTTAAACAGCTTTTGATATAGTCAGTTCTTGCTACGTCTTGCTTTTGATATAGTCACAGTTCTTGCTACTCCTTGCTTTTGATATAGTCAGTTCTTGCTACTCCTTGCACTGCATAGGGTAATCAATACTGCCTTTTATCAGCTATAAGCTCTTGCATACCAATCCCCCTCCACAGCCACTGCTGTCCTCCACAGCCAGTTCCACAAAGAAAAGCTAGGTCATGGCTGGAAAAGCCATTCACGTGAAACACCACCACAGTCACTACGGAAATACACACATGCACAGGTCCTGTAGTGACACTCCATTACAATTCTTTTTTTTTTTTCCTACAAAACCCTCTATCTGGCCACTTCTCTTAGGGGTTTCTAAACGGTTGCAAGGTTGCATTCTGAACCCAGACAATCTGTACAGAAAATGGTCTCATCCCCTTAGAAAACTCTGTGTCCATACCAAGCCATTCACAACAGCAAATCAAGGCTCCTCCACTTGCCCTACCTGTTCCAAGGCAAAGAAACTCTATGCCATCATTTGGCCTCTATCACTTCAGGTCCTCCTCCAACAATTCATGCTGGGTGCTAATTCACCTGCTTCAGATTAAAGATGTTTTCAGTTATTGTCACTAAATTCTGTTTTGTGTGAGAAATCACATGTCACACACTTCTGCAAAAATCTTGGCTTATCTCAGCATTTCCTCAGGATTGACCTTCATAATTAACAAGTAGAGTTTGAAGGTAGAGAAACTGTACCCTGTTGGTTTTGACTTCAAAAGGGACTGCACAAGTCCAGGAACCCACATCACAGATGACAGACAGCTAAAAAATACACATCATGCTTCTTTCCATAGTATTTTAGGTACTTCCTTCTTACGTTTTCAAAGAAGGAACTGGCACATGGAGCATTAATTTTTAATATTGCACCACAGGTTTCTTCAGACCTAAAAATCCAACATTTGTAATTACTGAACAACAGAATTAAAACCAAAAGAACCTGAAGAACCTGATGAATGATTCTGGTTTTGAAAAAAGTTGAATAGTGAATTCAGACAAAGATTGCTTCCTCCAGCTCCAGTGTACACAGGAGACACCACTGACACAAGTTTCCCATCACATTTGTTTAGAATACTCTAACAAGTAACCTAACACTTTGAAAGATGAAATACATGTGTTGCATTCAAGTTACACAGGAGTCATAATTACTTAATTATATGTACAAATATAATTTCATTTGTAATTTTAAATTAATGTATACCATAAGTGTACTCTGCATCTTAACTGCTGATCCCAGTTAGCCACAAGGTGGCAGAAACTTCAAAGATAAAAAGATCATTGTAGGCTAGTCGGTGGGCTTGGTTTTGTTTAATATGCTACAACTAAAAAGATGGGGAAGAAATGTTTGTGTCACCAGATCTAAAATTAAGGAGCACACAACTCCTTTTTCTACCTGTGGTAGAAAATAAAAATTAAACCTATAGCATAATATATAATATGGAGTTTTGAAGGAAAGTGATATGCAACCATTAAGCATTATGTTTTTCAATTTTAATATCTAAATTGAAAGTTATTGATTACTGAAGATATAAGCAAGCATAAAATATGTGCCCCAAAGTTCAAAAAACCCAAATAAATTATTTTAGGTTTCAGATTATGACCTTTTTTTTTTTGTGCTTGTAAGCAGCATTAAATTTTCTAATTAAAATAATATTTCTTAAGGGAAAATTGTATCAAAATAGCAAACAAATAGGGGAAGAATGCAGCTGCTAACCAGACATACACAGAACAACAGGCACTGTAAAAGAGCATCACAACACTTTTTAAAACATGACTAAGAATTGTTAAGCAATAACTCCCATCATCTGTCATTGCAAATCACTGACTTTCTGCCCTTTCCCATCAAATATTTCTACCCAAATTTTCACTTTTCAAAGTTATTTTTAATCAAAGTGCAGGAAAATATAATAATAAAACATAACAAATAAGGATAAAACACACGAGGCTTGGTGAGGGGAAGACTAAGAGATTGTCTTAAAAGTTAATGCTTACATGATCATTTTATCAATACATAAATCAGAAGGGAAGTTGCATATAAAATCACAACAATGTGAATCCCAAAATGCAAGTGAGACAACAGTAACAAGTACATTAAAAACTTACTGTCTAGCCTGGTCCTTATTGCCATATGTTACATTTACAACTGCAGTCTCCGTGTCAGTGTTCACTAGAGAGAAAAATGCAACAAAAAAAGGTTCAGTGTGTGCTCACTTCCCACTCCAAATTTAAAAGCAATTTGAGAGCAGAGCCATACCTTGCTCACAGTTCTCCACTGTTCCATACTGAGCTAACAAACTGTCCAGCACCTATGAAGAGGTAAAAGAAACGACAGGTTTAAATTTCAAAACAGATTAACAAAAACCAGCCTGTAAAACTAGTAAAACATGTAATTATATTATCAGAACATAAAGCATTCAAGGCATCCACTCCAATAAGGAAGAAATGTTGACTATTTTGAGAAGAACAAGCACACGTTGCTTGTTTTCTCTCACATCAGACAATCTGCATGTGAAACCTCATGAATGTGAAAATATAGAACATAATTCCAAGAAGGCACATGGCACTGCAAGTCACACACTCTGAAAATAAACTTCGAAGTCACCTATCCTCAGAGTGGGCTAAAGCACAGGCAGGAAGAATCAGAGAAGAGCAAATCTGAAATAAAACCTTTCCATGCATCCCAAGCACATATGTGTAACTTTGCGTTGTTTGGATTTGTCTTTTTTCCCCTGCCCAGTATAACAATGTCATTCTCTTACTTAGAGGCGGCTTGTCTATATAGAGAAGTTAACCAGGATAACCAGTACATAAAGAGCTGTTCCGCAATTATTTTAACAGTCTTCCCAAAGACCTGTTCCAGAGGAATCACTTGCACAACAGTCTCTTCATCATTATTTGAAAGAAGCAATTTGTCCTTTGGCAGAAAGGTAGAGAGGAAGGGCTAAAACCATATGACATAGGGCAAAGGAAATCCAAATAAAGTGATTTTATTTGGCATACATTGGTTTATTCTAGTCAAATGGAGGATGAAGGGGCAAGAGACGATGAGCCTTTTAGGAAAACCCAAGTGCCAGAATATTGCAGTTAAAACAATACCCACAGTTGTATCTTCCTAAAATTCCAACTTTATATAATTCATTTTCTTCCTGGTGAGAAGTAATGTGACTGTGGCAGTAACTAGCACAGAACACAAGTACATCATTGTGGTTTACTGCATCCTAAATGTTTTGTCTCAAGAATTAAAATGATGCTGGAAAAGTTCACCATTTACACCAAGAAGTGAAAATGTAAACTTGCAATATCTTCTGTGACCAACATGTCATTCTTCACTTTGGTCGGTCTCTTAGGGCAAAATGTCAGTATGAAATGGAAGAACCCCTTTTGGGAAAGGAACAAAACAAGGAAGAAGGGATAGAAAGAAAGCAGTAGGCATAAAAACACATCTGTGCAGCTTCTCACTGCAGTACACTCCCGTTTGGTATAACCAACAACTGTATGTGTACAAAACCCCAGTACCTAAAAATGTAAAATTCAGAGTTTACAACCTCATGAGATTAAGAATTTAAAATTATAATTTATTACTGCACAGTATATTTTTATTACAATATAAAAGACATTTTTAAGATAAACTGCAGTTTATATGCCCAAACTTAATGACAACTTCCACCAGTATAATTTTCAATCTTTACCACCTACTAAAAAGGAAATTGCCCAGACATTTCAAAGGTAACATTTCAAACCAGGTATTTAAAAGGCAAAGCACTGCACTACTACTTCCAACTGCAGAATTTCTGTATCTTTCTTGTACAGGGTCTAGTAAGCTTTGTTGGCAACTGTTTCGTTTTCATAGACAAGTTGTTAATTGTCCTCTCCTTCTACAAATAGAGATTAGCCTACTCAGAGTTTGCCTTTTCAATCCCCTAAAAACTAAATTTTTCTGCCCCTGCTCAGGTCTGACAATTTGAAACTAAAGTAAAATCTGCTCTGAAATCCGCTAGATATTCCTGATGCAGGGATGCTCCAGGGGATTCAAGTAAATTAAAAGGCTGTGGAAGAGCCTTTCAAGACAACTGAAATGTTGGCACAGACTAGTAGTAGGGTTGTAAGGTCTTGCAGGTCTGCAGCCGTACTTCCAACGCAAGCCAGGAGAGTCACCGCATGCGATTAGAGGAAAGCCTTCTTCCACAGACAACTTAAGTGGTAATTGTGCCTCCACTGAAATCAGCAGGTGAGCAGAATCTCAGGTGGAGGTCAGGGTTTTAAAACAAGAAAAGCAAAGTAAGTCCCTGGCTTAGAGCTCATTCTGAGATGTTTACCTGAAATAGGATACTAAAGAGTTCATTAGTCTGATAAAGCAATTTCTTTGTCCCTACGGTATTTCAACACCCTTGCTGTACTACACAGCAGACCGTACTACAATGTGAGCTACAGTCTTTAGTTAGTTCAGACAAATTTGTTAAATTTCAACTGCACAGATCACCAGCTCATGCCACTCTACCGTAAAGAGGCATTGCTTCAATATCACAGAATTTCACTGTCATCCTTAATCATAGAGGAAAAGATCAAAACTGGAATGCCAGAGGTACCACAAAACTCTGCTACATAATTATTAATCAATATTTTGTAAGCTATTTCCATATCAAATTGATATTCTAAGCTAAGCATACCTTCACGTTAAGACATAAGTATTAATGTCATCAGCTTCAAGAAACAAAATGCTTTAAAGCTGAAGCCACGAAAGTTTTTAAAGATACTATATTTTCTCAAAAAACTACTACTTTCAGCATGTTTCTGATCAGTCATCAGAAACCTCTCAATCAACTAGTCTTGCATCTGCTCCAAGAAGCCCAAGAGCCAAAAGGGTCCTTTGCTGTTAATACTGAGGAATAGCTCAGGATGGCACAGAGAGCATCCCACCCATCTTCACCAGGAGTTCTCCACTTATGCTGCTCCTTAACCCTCTTTTGAGCTGTGTCAGTCAGAAACACTGTCTGTCTGGGCTTTAATCCAAGTGATTTGAGTTCCCATATTCTTAAAAGTGTTGCTTTACCGAACAGATTTATGAGAAGTTTCCGTAAACAATCGGAGTTTTCTTTAACTGAAATGAGAAAAAAATCCTCTTAGGCTAAAGACACTTGTTCTCCACAGCCCTATTCTTTCTGGATGCTTGCATTTTCATCACCACTGTTCTAAAGCAGCAAGCTTTCAAGTGTGATCAGCCACACAGTCTTTTAACCAGGCTGTATTTAAAACACACTAGTAAAGTTTCAGCAGCAGTCTAGGTATATGCACGCGTGCATGTGAGGAACAAGCTTCATGGGTGAGAACACTTTTAAACGACCCAGCTGATTCAGTTGGGAAAAGTCATTACAACTGTCTTAGAAGCCAGACCCTCTATTGTAACATACTTTCAAAACACACAACTGAACTCCTGCATGTTTCTTGCTTCACTTGTATTTACTGCAATAGCCAGTTTCTATTCACATCCTTAGTTTTTTCCTATTTCTCTTCACAGTCTTTTCCCTCTCCCTGTTTTTTTCCTCTCTAGCCCAAAGCCTCTAGCTCTGCTGCAAAACAAACATGTTTTGTTTAAGCTGCTCTTCCGTAACACTCTTCATGTACAGCCTTGTTGGGCAATCAGAACAAAATTCAAAGCCAAGCTGGTGGTGCAGCAGCAATTCTGATGAGCAGCTGAAAAGAAAAGTTTATTTGTACAAATATTTAATCTAAGCTGGAAAAAAAGTCTTTCCTTTTCTTGAGCTCTCCTTCTAGCAGTTGTCTAAATTGGGTCTCCTGCTCTTGTTATAGCACAGATGTCTCTCTCACAAAAAGCTGCAGTCTTATACTGTGGACTTTCATTCATCAAGCTCTAAAAGCCAATTCTGACTTCATTATAAAGAGCATTACCCTACACCAAGCCCCACAAATTGAGACTGCTTTACAAGGAAAAAAGAAACAAGGAAACATTACTCTTCAGTAGAGCCAAGAGCTCAAAGCACACATTAAAATATCCCAGTTCTCATACAGATTTCACAGGTTTAGAAGTAGCACCTTTGAACAAAGCAGAGCAGTTGTTTTCTGCACTTTCAGAACAGACTATTTCATACACATCATCTTATGGTGCTGTAGGATTTCTGCCCTACGCCATAAGCAAATTAGTCTCAAGACATCTGGTCCATAAGCACAGTTATCCATATTGTTTCTCTCTCACACATGCACTTAGCGATGGGATCTTCACAGTAGTGCTGTAGAACCTGAAGTTATTTTCTCTACTCATGTAGAGCAAATACATTAGACCATCGCCCTTGTTTCCATGACTCCTGTCACATTGATTAGGAGTTAAAATTAGACAACACAACAAATCACAAACAGCAGAGGCAAAGAGATAGGAGCATCAGGATCATTTGGTAGAACACCACATGGAAATTTTTGGCTGCAAAGGCCTTGACCATCCTGGGTAATTTAACAAAGAAGGGGTGGAGGGGGAGTCAGGCAGCAATATGAGGAAAGAAGTTATTAGTGCAAGTTGCTTTTTGATTTGAAAGAGGAAAGATGGGTTGAGAGAAAACAAAAAAGACAAGTAAGGAAAGGAGGGGACATCACTCCAGATAACAAGCCTGGCTGAAACCATTAATGTGATCTACACAGTTCAAGTACTCTGTTGCTATAATTAAGTCCACAAGAAAAAGACAATTTTCAATTACTTATATTAATGCAGTTCAAACTGGCCTGGTGTGACAGCCAGTGTGCAGCGCAGCACAAGCAGAGCTGGCATTTTGCGACTTCCATGTGTGAAACAGGACCTCGCAAAGCCACCACTGTCCTTGCAGCCCTACCAGCTGCCAGCAATTGATGATACCAAAATGGGTCTTTGAAGCAGCTTCAGTTTGGCATAATCTTTTCACTGGTAGAAAGCACATCCCCAACAATGGGCCCAGCTAGCACGGCTGTGCAGAAAATTAAACATGAAGAAGCCCCTAATAAATGTCTGAGGAAGCAGTTATTTTTGAAAGATGCAATGGGATAACCCTGCATCACCTGTGTGGAGTCCAGGTGAGCTTGGCCCCAGGTCACCCAGCACACCTCCCAGGCTGGGCAGCCTGTCTGGACCACTGCCATCAGTCATAACTTAAATATGGCAACTTCACCCATTTTCACCAAAAAAGAAAGTCAGAACATGCTGGCCCCTTGTAAAGGCAGAGGAGCACGGACATGGAGCACCCAAAACAGCACGTGGTCTGCCAGGACAAAGTTATTCCTCCAAAACCTTGTGAAGACATTTGAATAGGCAAAGCCACTTTGTGAT